CGTCGTCTCCGATACTGCTTCAGACAAAGCCGAAACTGAAGTCGACTGGGAACCCTTGCCAAGCCGTTCTCCTTCGCCAGAATGGCAACCCATGCCAAGCCGCTCGCCTTCGCCGCAGCGCAACGAGCTTGACGATGAAGTTCATCAGCGCGCGCAGGAAGTGCATCGTGAGATGAGGGAGTACTGGGGGCAGATGTACGAGGAGAGCTACGATCCCAAACTTCTCCATCAGCTCAGCCTTCTGCTTTTCATGAAGAGGGCAGACGCTGGTGCTCCTCAGCCTGGCGATGACTGCGACGCAGCCTATGCGTCGCAGGAAGAGACTGCTCGGGCCATTCAGGCTGTTCTGCGGATCCGCCACGACTTCCTCCGAAGCAAGAACATTACGAACATGCGCCATGTCCTTACTGAGGAGGAGCGCGGGGAACTTGTCAAACGTGCTCGAGAAGAGTACGAAAGTTCTGCCTTCCAGGTTCAGCTGCAGAACCGAGATGCCGAGAAAGGGAAAGCGAAGGGAAAAACGTCAGCGCAGCAGGAACGCGGTGCTGATCAGCCTGCGAGCAAAGGCAAGGGAAAAGGCAAGGGCAAGGAACAAGGCATTGGCAGCCTCCGTAAGTTCATCAGAGAGCAAAAGCGCAAGCGATGGTGTCGGCATCTGCAACGCGTTTCCGGGGCGAGGCAGATCTGGGAGGTCCTCGCCTTTTCCGGCCGCTTCGACGCTGACATGCTCAAGCGAGCCTTGCACGTCGAGCCCAGTGATGCACCCGCAGAGCTCGCCGATCGCAACCAGGTCTCTCAGGAAGAGCGCCGCCGCCTCCATCGTGACAAGGCGGAGGCCATTGCGCGCTACAACGAAGGTGAGCGGCTCTATCGCCATCGGCAAGAGGTGCAGCGTCGCGGTGCTAGTCAGCCTGCAGACGATGCCACTTTCACTCGCAGGCAATGGGATGTACTGCGGAAGTGGGAGAGCGGCGAGTTGCTCAAGAACCGCAATGCGGCGATTGTGGCGCTGGGACATGGTCGTCTGCGCACGAAAGAGGGTGATTACCTTGACATCGGCGGCAGCACCGGAGGTGGATCCCGGCGCATCATCGATTCTTGGCAGCCTCCAGATTGGCGCGATTTCCTGGAAGACGAGCACGAGAGGTGATGGATCCAGGCCTGCTTGCCCGCGGTGCTTCTGAGCCTGCGGTGTTGGAATGCTACTTGCAAAAGTGATTCCCTGCGCGGCCGCGCACAGCTTCTCTGCTGAGGAAGACGAGGAAGAGGAGGAAGCGAGGGGAGAGGGCGCGCAGGAGGAAGAGGAGGAGGACGGGCAAGAGGAGGGCGGAGGCCGACGAGGATGAGGTGGAAGAGGAGGGGGGGCTCTGTCTGCCAGTCTCTGTGGTGCTTCTAAGCCTGCAGGCTTGCCTCGCTTTCCTCTTTTGTTCGTCGCCAGACTGGCGCGATCTAGTTCCAAAAGTGCTGCGCTGCACGGCCGCCTTCAGCCTCTGTGCTGACAGGGCGAGGAGGAGGAGGAAGACAAGGGAGATGACGAGCAAGAGGAGGAGGAGGAGGGGCAAGAGGAGGGCGGAGGCGAAGGAGGATGAGGTGGAAGAGGAGGGGGGGCTCTGTCTGCCAGTCTGCGCGGTGCTTCTAAGCCTGCAGGCTTGCTTCGTTTTCCGCTTCTGTTCGCCGCCGGACCGGCGTGATCTAGTTCCAAAAGTGATGCGCTGCGCGACCGCGTTCAGCTTCTCTGCCGAAGAGAACGAGGAGGGGGGGGGAGAGAAGGGAGAGGACGAGCAGGAGGAGGAGGAGGAAAAGGAAGAGGAGGGCGGAGGTGGAGGAAGATGAGGTGGAAGAGGAGGGGGGACTCTGTCTCTGATTCTCTGTTGTGCTTTTAAGCCGGCAGGGTTGCCACGCTTGTTCGCTTGTGATCGCCGCCAGACTGGCGCGATCTTCGAGAAGGCGAACAGGAGAGGTGATGGATCCAACTCTCCATGCCCGCTGTGCTTGTCAGCCTGCAGTATTGGAAGACTACTTCCAAAGGTGATGATCTGCTCGGCCGCGTTGGCACGGTGCCTGCGAGTGTCTGCGATGCTTCTTAGCTTGCAGCTTTTGGCCGTTTTCTCGCTCCGTACGCTGCACTCATTTGTGCTCCTCGTGCGTGTCCGAAAAAAACACTTCGAAAGAACGCAGCCATCAAACGCAGCATTCAGTGATACATAAGCTCTACTTTAAACAATCTTGGTCATCATCACACCATCCACTTCAAACGCTTCCGTGAGCACGCAGCGAACGTAGATACCAGAGTCTCATTTGAAACTGCATTCGTTGATACCGAGTGCTTGTTTAAACTCACATCAGTCGATTGCAGACTTTGATGCAAAAGTCTACAATGAGAGTCCGAGTTGAATATTAATGAAATCGCCATCTGAATCTAACTGATGGTGCACACATATATGCTTTTACACATCGCTGTTAGGTTGCTTTGCTGGGATAATTTTATTCTAATAAAACACACACACACACACACCAGCCCGTCCAGAAACGACGCCCAGGCGAGTAGAGGGTCGTCCTGAGGGGCTTTTCTGCGTCTTGGGTGCCTCGGGGGGGCCTCTGTGGGCCGTTCGGGGTCCTCTTTGCGGCCTCCTGGGGGCCTCTTGGGGCCTCTTGGGGCCATAATGGGGCCTTTTGGGGGCCTCCTGGGCGCTTCTTGGGGCCTCCTGGGCGCTTCTTGGGTGCCTCTGGGGGGTTTCTTGGGGCCTCTTGTGGGCCTCCTGGGGGCCTCTTGGGGGGCCTCGGAGCCATCTTGGAGGAGATCGATCAACGAAAGGGGGTCCCCTAATGACAGCCCCCCCGTCAGGAGCCACGATCCTCGTGAGGGGTGTCGAATTTTAGCCCTCCCAGGGGTCGTTCTTGGACGCTCTAACTACCCGCGGCCCCCCTGTCCAGGTCAGCGGGGGGGGGGGCAGGGGGAGGGGTAAACCCTTCCCCGAAGGGGAAGAAGGAGGGGTGGAAGAGGAAACGCTCTAAACCACCGACGCCCAGAGGGCTGGTGGGATTAAGCGCCCAGCGGCCTGCGCGGCGACTCTCCGCCATGACAGTTCCCGCACTTCATGTTGGTAATCCGAGCGGGTCACCGCGCCAGCGCGAGAATTTTGGGCTCGGCTACGGCATGGGCATCTATTGGGAGACGTTGGCGAGATGGATCAACGCGCGCGCTTTTCGCGACGCGCGGCGCCTGGGCGTGCCCCTCGTTTTCTTGCAGGCCGTGGACTAGTGCGGCGCGATCCAGGGCGAGTCCGACGCGGGTCGGTGCCTCCTGAACGTCCCGAACATGCACAAGACGGGGGACATCCATGGCGTCTTCCGTCACGCGTCGGCATGGAGGTTCGGTTCGCGGCCGCGCATGAGGAGCCGAAGAAGAAGTTGGGGCCGGTGCAGGAGCAACGGGCCACAGTCGTGTCCTTCGAGTTCCACCGCGAGGACGAGCAGCGCGACGCGGAGTGCCCGGCAGGCCAGCTCTTTCGCCCCCGCTTCCTACCGCGGGGGATTTGGCTGCAGGCGCACGGCTTCAAGGTGTTTCCGATCTACCAGGAAGCTGCCGAGGTGCTGCGACAGGGCGCCGAAGACGCCGACGACGACGACGGCCAGGCCGAGGCGCGGGCTCGGAGCTTGATGATGTTCAGGCCCAGTGAGCAGGAGCTCACGCGGCAGAGCTCGGGGTCGGGCACCGTTCGCCGCTCGGGGTTAACTCTGACTCACGCGCCCTACCTCACCTCCACGCTGTCGCGGGGCCAGACGCTCCGGAGGGGCGTCACCATCGACTGCGCGAGGGGCGAGGACGCTGGCCGCGCGGAGATGTCGGGCGGCCAGTTGTGGCTGCACCTCATACGTCATGCTCTTCCGCGCCACGCGCATGCGGAACATGCTGATCCTGCGGCCACCCTCGCGGGAGTTTCTGGAACGCGGGCCGCCGGCTTCTTTGCGGAAGGCGCTCCTGGAGTTCGACAAGAGAGCGGAGACGTCCAGGGATGAGGCCGAGCAGCTCGTCGCAGAGTTTGGGTTCACGCTGCCTCCCGCCTGAGCGCGGCTGCGCCCCGCTCAAAGCCCGCGGGGTTGCCCCAACGGCTAGGCCCGCGGGGATGTCCCGACCGCCTGCCCCCGCGCCCCAGCGGCCCGCGGGGTTGTCCCAAAGGCTTCGCGAACCAGCCGTCGGGGAACGCGCGCGCTCTGGCCGCGGCGGCGACGGCGCCGGGGAAAATCGATTTAGTTGCCCCGACCAGGGGGAAAGGGAGGGGCGCGCGGGGAAAACGCACGGGAAGGACGAGGACGGGGAAGGGGTAGGGAGGGGGTGATGATGAGAAGGAGGTGGAGAAGGAGGAGGAGGGGGAGAAATAGAAGGAAGGGGCGCAGGTGAGGGCCGAACGGCGAGCGAGAGGAGAGTGTCCGTCGGGGCGAGGAGGAAAAGGGTAAGGGCAAGCTAACCAGATTCTCGTGCGGGGTCCTTCCGTCGGAGTGATCCTCCTCCTGCTCCTGCTCCTCGTCCTCCTTTTTCCGCCCTTTTTTCCTCCTACACCTCCTCCTCCTCCTCCTCCTCCTCCTCCTCCTCCTCCTCTTCCTCCTTTTCCTCCTCCTCGTCCTCCTCTGCTCTCCTCCTCCCCTCCTCGTCCTCCTCCCTCCTCCCCCTCCTCCTCCTCCTCCTCCTCCTTCTCCTCCTCCTCCTCCTCCTCCACCTCCTCCCTCTCTCCTCCTCCTTCTCCTCCCTCTCCTCCTCCTCCTGCTCCTCCTCCACCTTCTCCTCTTCCTCCTCCACCTCCCCCCCATTTTCCTCTCCTCCTTTACCTCCGTCCTCTATTCCAGGCCAGTTGCAGAGCTCCGGCTTTGGCGCGTGCTGGACTGTTTGAATCTAGGGCTCCCAAGTGGGGTCCGAAAAGATGGGGTCGGAGGATCGCGCCACATCACCGACCTATCGAAGACGCATCAGCGATGCATTGGCGAGGCGGTTCGATGAGGGGCCGATTTTCCCCACGCGGCCGGCGTCGATGCATCGTCAACGTCGCCGACGCATCCCCGACGCATCGCCGATGCATCGGCCATGCGGCACGATCCTCCGACCCCATCTACCCGGAACCCATGGAGGACGCGTCTCTTGAAGTACCTGCCCCACGCGGGCATCGGGCTGGACGTATATTGCACGAGCAAGGGATAGACGGAGACCGATGGTTCGCACCACGCGGCGGTGGATTTCTGCGCCGCATCTGGGACAAGGTCTAGGACATGGGCGACCATGGCGCTGTCACCTACCACGGTCAAGGGCTACTCCAGGGACTACATGGGCGAATGGCATGCGAACGGACCCTGCCTGCATGTTGGCAAGTGCCACGCCGATGTGGTAGCCGAGACCCCCGCTGGCGCTCCACCCTTGGAGCGAGGCGGACTCGCTCCGCTCCGGGCAGTCCTGCGACGTGGCGCAGCACGCGGCCAAATACCCGGCGGAGGTTATCTTTGGCGACCGTCGACGGTGCCACAGCTACAGTCAGCCCGCACAGCAAGGATGGGCATCGGGGGCCGCGCCCGGGAGAGCCGGTGCCAGGACTTCCCCCAGGCGCGAGCTCGTGGGCCGTTCGGCGAGACCGCGTTCGGCCTGCGGCACAGCGGCGTGCACACCGTGTCCGGCGAGGAGGAGGTGAACGCGGCCAGCGTCACCGAGGTCGTCGTTCTCGCCTTCGGGGCGCAGCATGCCTCGCACACCGAGTCGGCCCTTGTGGTCAATGATCGAAAGTCTCTGTGGGCATAGTTAGGCCGTGCGCCAGTTCTGCCGCGAGCACGGCGCAGCCAGACGCACCCGCCGCCCGCTTTGCCTCGTCGTCAAAACTGCCTCCTTTCTCCCCGCCCTTCTCAGAGGACGGGGAGAGAACTGCGAGGTGGGAAGCGTGAGACAGGAGGAGGAGGAGAAGGAGTTTGCGGTTGATCGGATGGGGCTAGGACGAGGAAAAATCCGTCACAGAGCGTTCCGGAACGCTCTCAAAGCGTTCCAGAATGTTCTGAGAAGGCCGCGGCGCCCGAGACATGCTCCAGAGCCGCCGGATCCCACAGATTCTCGATTCACCCTTGCCCGACTTTTTCTTCGTCTTGGCTTCGTGTTAGTGGACTCAGGAGGGAAAAAAACACAGACACAATTAATCGTCGATTCCCAAGAAAATATGGGAAAACATGGGAAGTTGGGGGGAAGACGAAAACCCAGAAAATACAGGAAACATATGGGGAGTCCTTTTATTTGTGTGTATTAATTTATGTGTCCTGGAGCCCCTTCGTGGACCCCCACCCCACGGTCGTCGTCGGCGCCGTCGGCGACGCCGCCGTCTGCTTCCCGCGGGGCGGGCCGCGGCGCCGCGAAGAGAGCGCGAGCCGAGGCAGAGCGGGAGCAGCTGCGGGCCTCGGGGGCGAACGTCCAGGCCGCGCGCCTCGGCCGGGGGCCGCGGGCCTGTCGCCAGGGGTCTCGGGCCGGACGAAAGGCGGGGATTGGGAGAGGGGGGGGTACGAAATCTGCTGCGTGCAGCTGGTTTCGGCCCCACCGAGGGGCCCCATTAGCGCTGGGGGGCGCCAGGGAAGTCAGCTTCTCAAACCCCTCTTTGCTATCCACCCCTTTTGCCCGACCCGAGGGTCGCCGTGCTCGTCGGTGGCCTTGCACTTCTCGGGCCTGTGCATGTTTTTTTCCAGCGGGGTCCCTCGAGGAGCGGTTTGGGCCATCTTGCGAAATGTTGATCGCGCGACATCGGGGAACGCACGGGCATTGGACGTCCGAGGGACGGCAAGGGGACGGGGGGCGGGGCACCAGGCGGGCGGAGGAGGGGGGAGGTGGTGGACGGGGAGGAGGAGGAGGAGGAGGAGGAGGAGGAGGAGGAGGAGGAGGAGGAAGCAAGGGGTACGGTCAGACCGAGGTATAAGAAGATCGAGGTCAGGTCGACGAGGGTACCCTAATGTTCTTGGTGTGTGTTGGGTGTTATTGTGCATCTTGGGGCAGGGCATACTTGGATGTTCTGTGTGATGTGGCCGGTTGAAGGGTCTCATGTTCTTGCAAGTTGTTTTTGTCTGTCGTAGGCCCGATTGTAGGAGGATGACGGGAATGGAAAGGAAGAGGAGACGGCTTATCACGACATACTGAGTCGGCAAAGCACACGCAGGCTCAGAGAAGCGGCGCTTCCCGGTCTTGCCCGGAAAGGGGTCCGTTATTCATGTCCCGGGCAGAAGAGGCCCCAGGATGTTTGTTAATGTTTGTGGCGCTCCTCCCAACAGGCGTTCATGACCGCGTGCATGTGGGTGCTAGCCGTAAGTCGGGCCTGTCCCTCTACAGGAGGAATATTCAAAAATAGTAAAATCATAGTCTGGGAACTATTGTTTTGAGTTTTTTTATGCTTGGGACTATGTTTTGAGTATTTGTTATTTTTCATCGAAAATCCCCTGTCGGGGGACACGCCTGGCTTAATGCTAGCCGCCAGGCCGTAAGCACGTTCTTTGCCAAGCTCTGGTCGGCGGCAGCGCTCGGGGTCCCGGGGGGTGCCCCGCGTGAGGCGTGGAGCGTTGCCGTGCGATCCGCACCCCTCCTCCTCCTCCTCCTCCTCCTCCTCCTTCTCCGCACCCCTCCTCCTCCTCCTCTTCCTCCTCCTCCTCCTCCTCATCCTCCCCTTCCTCCTCCTCCTCCTCCTCCTCCTCCTCCTCCTCCTCCTCCTCCTCCTCCTCCTCCTCCTCCTCCTCCTCCTCCTCCCCCTCCCGTCACAGGAGGGCGTCCCCAGAATCGCACGCCTTGCCACGCAGCTGTGGGGGCCGCCACGGTGTTCCTCTTCGGGAGTGGGGGCAAGACCTCCCCGGCTTGCGACTGCTGCTGCATGTGATCGAATATGCGAGGAGGAGGAGGAAGAGGAGGAGGAGGAGGAAAAGGAGGAGGGAAAGGAAGAAAAGGAGGAGGAGGGGGGTGGAGGGAGGAGGGAGGAGGGAGGAGGGAGGAGGGAGGAGGGAGGAGGGAGGAGGGAGAAGGAAGGAGGGAGGAGGGAGGAGGGAGGAGGAGGAGGCGGAGGAGGAGGAAGAGGAGGACAAGAAGGAGGAGGAGGAGGAGGAGGAGGAGGAGGAAGAGCGCGACTTCGTAATGGTTCACATCCGCCAGCCATGTTTGCTCATCTCGCACCCGAGGCCGCGCTGCAGGCCAGCAAGGACCAGGTCTCGGAGTTGCAGGTCCGGCTTGCCGCCGAGCAAGAGCAGGTGGCAGTCCTGGCGGCCGCCGGCGTGGAGCCCGGAGGTCGTCGCCGTCGGGGGAGGAGGGCCAGGAGCAGCAGAAGCCAAAGGAGGAGGAGCCAGCAGCGAGGATCTGGCCACGCTCCGAGAAGGGGGAAGGTGGGCGACGACGGGCGGGGGGGACCGGGGAGCGGGAGTCGAGCAGTGGCGAAGCGTCCTGGTCTGCCGATAGGGTCACCAAGGAATGTTCCTAAGGACTTTTTGTGGTCTGCACGAAATGGTCTCAGAGCAGTTCTTGTTGAGATGTTATTGTTTTAGCATGGCGGGTCTTCGTTCTAAGAACATGGTTTCTGTTATTGGAACATTTCTGGGTTCGAGAAACATGTCGTGGTAGGCTTAAGTTGGGCGTGTTCCTCTACAAGAGGAATATTCCATTAGCCTGACGAAGGACCCAACCATATGCAGCTGCGAGTGCCGCATTAAGGGTACCGCTTTCGCTGGAGCTCCCTATGGGGCCACGAAGCGTGCAAGGGGTGCACCGAAATCGGTGGCGCGGACGCATGCGGACCCTGCCACTGGAGGTTTCGGTGGAACTGCCGATGGGGCCACGAAACGCTGTCCTGGGTGGCGGTGACGCATGCGGACCCTGCCTCCAGAGCCTTCGGTGGAGCTCCCCATGGGGCCACGAAGCGATGTGTTGGGTGGCGGTGACGCATGCGGACCCTGCCACCAGAGCCTTCGGTGGAGCTCCCTATGGGGCCATGAAACGCGGCCCTGGGCGGCGGTGACGCATGCGGACCCTGCCACTGGAGCCTTCAGTGGAGCTCCCCATGGGGCCACGAAACGATGTGTTGGGTGGTGGTGACGCATGCAGACCCTGCCACTGGGGCTTCGGTGATGCTCCGGCCACGAAACGCTGTCCTGGGTGGCGGTGACGCATGCGGACCCTGCCACTGGAGCCTTCGGTGGAGCTCCCGATGGGGCCACGAAGCGCTGCCCTGGGTGGGTGAAACGCAGGGAGGTGACGAGGCGGATGGGAGGAGGAGAGGACAGGAGAGGAAAGCGGGGCGCTGTCTTTTCAAAACGAGGACCCAACACCACAGGATGGCTGGCCCAAATAGTCATAAAAATAGTCAGGGGACGATGGTACACTATGTTTGACCAGATTAGCGCATGTTTCTGATATCCTGCATTTCTTGTTTCAGGATCCGCCTGCAGGAGTGCACGCCCGACCCAATGCTAGGCCCATGCGAATGCTTGGACGATCGGCCCCTGCTCAGAGGTGGCCGGCGACGGGCAGAGGGGGGGGGGTCGGGGCTCAAGAGATGGGGTCAATGCAGACGGGGGTCAGCCAGCGCACCGGATCCTGCAGGATCCTGCGAAGACCCCCTCTGGCTGACCCGGGTTAGCGAGCCGCTCGTGGCCGCGAGGCGGCCGCGCATCTTGGCTGACCCGGGTTTGCGAAGATCTGCGTTGCATTTTTTGTCCTGCATTGCAGTTGTTTGGTTTCCTGCTTACCCGGGTCTGGATCGACCCGGGTCAGAAGATCCCCGACATGTGCTGTTTTTTGTTCCGAGCGGGTGATTGGATGTTTCGCCGCAGGACCCTGCTCTTTCTGGTGGTGAGAATCCCGAGAGGGGGGGGGGGGGGGGGCAATTCCCGTGCAGCTCCCGATAGTGAGTGGTCTGTTCGCGCCGGTGTCTGGGCAGCGCTGCCGAGACCCTCGATTCGAACATCAGCACACCTTCTTTAAGCTCAGAGCTGTGGGCGTTCCAAGATGTTGGCATCATGTTTGCGTCAAGGAAGTGGAAAACGTGGTTCCATCGAGGGCACCACAGCACGATTCCGAGATGCATGTGTATATGGATGCATACATGCGTCTCCTGCTGACCCGGGTCTGGATTGGCCCGCGGCCTCGGCGAGCCGCGGGGCGAGAGGCGCCGCGCTCCGCGGCGGCGCGGCTCCCAGGAGCGGCAGGCGCAGCTGGACGCGGCGCGCGCGCAGCTGGAGGTGGGGCGCGCGGCCGAAGGAGGGGGGGAGGGGAGCAGGTCGAGGGAGAGGAGAGGGAGAGGGAGGGGGAGGGGGGGAGAGGAGAGGGGCGCTCGGCCGAAGGAGAGGGAGGGAGGGGGGGGAGGGGGGGGAGCAGAGGGGAGCAGGTCGGAACCTCCTCCCTCCTCCTCCTCCTCCTCCTCCTCCTCCTCCTCTTCATCCTCATCCTCATCCTCCTCCTCATCCTCCTCATCCTCATCCTCATCCTCATCCTCTCCCTTCCCCATTCCTCTTCCTTATAGACAGTTCTCCCTGTCGCACCCCGGGGCTAGTTTTTAGGGGGGCGTGGGCGTTCCGCCTGAGACTTCTTCAACATTTATGATTCTGAGGCTGCAGAGGTGACACCAGTTCCACGGATTGGGGGCGGGTTGTTTTCAAAATGTGGTTCTCGTTGTAGCGCCGCGTGCATTCGGTATAACAAATTGCGAGGGTTTCACATATTGAGGGCAGGTGGCTTTCAACATGTGGTTCTCGTCTTAGCGCTGCGCACATTCGTTATAAACATTTGCAAGCGTTTCACGGATTGAGGGCGAGTCGTTTTCAACATGTGTTTCTCGCCTTAGCGGCGCCGCGCACATTCGTTTGAAAGAAATGCAAGAGTTTCACGGATTGAGCGCGGTTCCTATTCAAAGTGTTGTCCTCTTTTTAGCGCCGCGCACACTCTTTGTAAACGATTGCAAGAGTTTCACGGATTGAGGGCGGGTCGTTTTCAACATGTGGTTCTCGCTTTAGCGGCGCCGCGCACATTCGTTTGAAAGAAATGCAAGAGTTTCACGGATTGAGCGCGGTTCCTATTCAAAGTGTTGTCCTCTTTTTAGCGCCGCGCACATTCTTTGTAAACGATTGCAAGAGTTTCACGGATTGAGGCACGGATTGAGGGCGGGTCGTTTTCAACATGTGGTTCTCGCCTTAGCGCCGCGCACATTCGTTGTAAGAATGTGCAAGACACTCACGGATTGAAGGCGGTTTCTTTTCAAAATGTGGTCCTCGCCTTAGCGCCACGCACATTCGTTGTAAAAGCTTGCAAGGGTTTCACGGACTCCTTTTTTTCCAAAACGTATCAGACATTGTGTTGGACGGATTCAGGATAATGCGGGTGCAACAGTTCTGCTGGTTCGCAGCGTCGAAGTCCCAAAAACGGCGTTCTGGCACGATTCCGGATCGTCAAGACGCAGCAGTCGGGTTGATACGTGGCGTTGAAGTCCCGAGAACAGTGTTTTGGCATGATTCACAAACGGTTTTCTTCCAACGAGGCAGTTCCCTCAAATGAACCGTTGTAGGTGCCTGTGAAGAGGGAGCTTGGAGGGAGGGTTGATTCCAACATCGTTGATGACTCTTGGGATTACACTGGTCCCCCTCCTCCCCCTCCTCCTCCGCAGGAGAACGAGGGAGAGGGAAAGAGGGAGAGGGAGAGGGAGAGGTTGCATCTCTGGAGGACCTGGCCTGTGCCCCAAACTGTTGTCATTTCTTGTGCCCGGCGCGGGCTCGATGCGGACTCGTCGCGGATTTGGCGCGGATTCGGCGCGGATTTGATACTGTTCGTCACGGCTGTGACACGCATCCGATGAGTCCGACATGGATTCGACACGGATTCGACGCAGATGGGGTCGCGACGGGACAGACAAGGTCCCCCCGAGGATGCAGCATGAGAGAGGGAGAGGCGGCCCTTAGCTCCTGGAGGTCGCCGTGTCGAGCTGGCGGGAGGACGGGTCCGTCTGGCCCCCCTGTTGTTGCTTGCTAGACCGCGTCAGTCCCCTCCGTTCATTTGGGGGAGAGAGGAAGAGAGAAAGGGGGAGAGAGAGAGAGAGAAAACAAAAAAGAAAGAAAGACAGAGATGTTAGAGTAAAGTTTGAGGAAGAGCGGCGGAAAGAGAGAGAGAGAGAGATGGTGGAGGGGGAACGGGAGGAGGATAAGACGGACGAGGGATGAGAGGGGAGGGAGGAGGTGTGGCGAAGGCAAGACGACGTGGGCCATTACATGTTTTGAAGCAAGGAGGATGGAGGGAGAAAAGGGGGGACAAGCATGTGGGATGAGAGGGAAGTGGGAGAAAGAGGAGATGGGAGGGGACGGAGGTGGAGGAGAAGGAGGGATGGAAGGAGGACAGGTGAAGGCGGAGGAAGCGGGGGAGGGGGAGGAGGTAAGAGAAAGGAAGGGCATGGCGCTGGGAGGCGAGAAATACGATTGTGTGTGTGTGTGCGAGCGGTTGTCTGTCAGTCTGTCCGTCTATTTGTCCGTCTGTTTGCCTCTCTGTCTTTGGGGGGGGGCGGGGGGAGGGGCCCTATGGTCGCTAAGTTATAGCACGTTTCCCCCCCATTATATTGCATCGGTCTGTTCTTGCCGCACGACTGCATCGGTCTGTTCTTGCCGCACGAGGGACGGGCGCCGGGAGAGTGGACCCTAAGTGAACGAGTTGTAGCGCTTGATGTGCGTGTTGGCCCATATTCGGGAGCCTTGAGACGGGGGTCAATGCAAACAGGGGTCAGCCAGGGCACCGGATCCTGCAGGATCCTGCGAAGACCCCTTCTGGCTGACCCTGATTCGCCAGCCGCTCGTGGCCGCGAGGCGGCCGCGCATATTGGCTGACCCGGGTTTGCGAAGACCTCTGGTGCAGTTTTTCTTTCTTGCACTACAGTTTTTGGTTTCCTGCTGACCCGGGTCTGGATTCTGGATCGACCCAGGTCAGAAGATCCCCGACATGTGTTTTTTTTTTCCGAGCGGGTGATTGGATGTTTCGCCGCAGGACCCTGCTCTTTCTGGTGGGAGAATTCCGAGAGAGGGGGGGGGGGGGCAATTCCCGTGCAGCTCCCGATAGTGAGTGGTCTGTTCGCGCCGGTGTCTGGGCAGCGCTGCCGAGATCCTCTATTCGAACATCAGCACACCTTCTTTAAGCTCAGAGTTGTGAGCGTTCCAAGATGTTTGCATAATGTTTGCGTCAAGGAAGGGGAAAAGTGACTCAATCGAGAGCACCCCATCATGATTCGAGATGCATATGTATATAAATGTATACATACGTTCACCCGTGCGGATATCAAGTTCCATGTGTTCACCCTCCTCCAGTCTTTTTACCTCTCTCTCTCTCTCTCGTCTGTCTCTCTCTCTCTCTCTCTCTCTCTATATATTGTACATATACACGGTGTGTGTGTGTGTGCGCGCGCCCTGAGGTGTTGCAGAAGACCAGGGCCGAGCTCGCGGCCGAACGCGAGGCAAGAGCCTCACTGTCGGCGGAAGGTGTCCTCCGTTTCCGCGTCCCCTCCTCCCTCACCCTTCTTTGTTGCAGCAACAGGCCGATGCGATCTCGCTGGACAGGGCCAACAGTCGCAGAGTTGGTGAGTTCCACCACGATGTCAGCGCCGTTTTGATATGAATGCATGCGATGCTGGGATGAGAGACGGATGATGACGAGGAGGCGGAGGAGGGGGAGGATAAAGTTGATGACGATGAGAAGGGGAGGATGAGAAGGAATGAGGGAGAGGACAAGGGTACAGGAGGGTAGAGAGGAGGATGGGAAGGATGAGGAAGGGGAAGAGGGGGAGGGAAGGAAGAAAGGAAGGATGGATGTAGGGAGGAGGAGGAGGACGAGGAGGAGGAGGAGGAGTTGGAGTCGGAGTTGGAGTTGGAGGAGGAGGAGGAGGAGGAGGAGGAGGAGGAGGAAGGGGGGATGGGGGGGAGGGGGAGTTCAAGGGAGGAGGCGGTGGTGAAGCTGAAGGTGCCCTGACGCAGTCGATGCTGGAGGCGGCCCGCGCGCAGCTGGAGGAGCTGCAGGGCGCCCGCACGGCCCTCGTCGCGGAGCAGGAGCGAGGTGCGGGCCCAAACGCTCAGGAGCAACAACGCGTCTTCCCGGGTGTGATGGGTCGTAGATCCCCCTCGGCGGGTCCAGGCCACCTGCGAGTACAGTCGGGGCCCTGAAGAAGAAACCCTTTTCGTTGGGGAGGGGCTCCGCGTTCCTTGAGTGTTTCACAACTTGCCTCAGGTCTTCCTTATATATGTTCAATCGGAGAGCGAAGGTGAACTCATGGAAAAAAGGGCCCTCGTTCCTTATTTAGGGTTCCTGAGGTCAACGCCCCGACTGTAGCAGGAGGAGGACCTTAGGACCTCAGGGGGCTTACACCAAAGCGTATCGCGTCCGGCGAAGCTTCATGCATCAGTGAGCACATCAGGGCCAGCATTCGGGAAGGAGGAAGAGGAGGAGGAGGAGGAGGAGGAACTGGATTCTAGAAAGTCTGCCCCCTTCTCAGCGTTTAGACTCGACTCGATGCATCCCGTCCCTGCGGCCGAAGGGGATGCGGGGGGAAGCCTCGGGCCGCACGTGCTCGAGGGGATGGGGAGACGCAGGGAGAAAGGAATGAGGGAGGGGGGGGGGCATGGGAGGGAGGGGCGCAGGGGAGGGTGGTGGAAGAGGGGCGATGGAGGGCAAGGTGGCAGGGCAGGCTTGGGAAGAGGGGAGCCATGCGGAGAGTGTGGCGGGCCACGGATCGAAGCAAGGGAGCGGGGGGGGGGACATCTGGAGGGCGGGGCGAGGAGGGGAGGGCGGGGGGAAGCAGGGGTCGGAGCTGAGACCTGTGCGGAGTTCCAGTGGACGTAGGATAGGGAGGACAAGGAAGAAGAGGGCACGAAGACAAGGCGAGTGTGAGAATATCACGAGGGCGGAGGAGGAGGAGGAGGAGGAGGAGGAGGAGGAGGCAGAAAGCGATGGCAGTGGCAGCGAGGCAGGGGGCAGGGCGAATAACAAGGAGGAGGAGGAGGCGGGTTTCCTCGGCCCCGCGAGGAGGCCAGGTCCAAGCTCCAGGCGGACCTCGCAGTGCAGGCGTCCCGCCCTCGGTTTCCACACCGCAAGAAGGTCGTTGCAGGCGGCTCTCTCGAGAGCGATCTCAACCGCTGTGCGAAACCTCTGGGGGGCGCCATGGTCCTAGTCTCAGCGTGCAGTTTGGAAAACGCGTATGCACGCTAATTGCTTCGCACTTAGCGTGCACTTTGCGATGTTGGTTCTTAGCGTACGTCGGAGGGCTGTGCCACCCGGCCCTACTTAGCGTGTACGCCCCTGCGCTGCTTAGCGTGTCAGCGGCTTCGGTTTCGGAGGGCAAGAAATCATAGACACGCTAAGAACAGGACCATGGCCGTGATTTGTTTCCGCCTTTCTCTAGCTTCTCATGCTCACCCCGTGAGTCGTCCCCAGCATCCTGAATCAATGAAGGATGAATCACGGATCCATTTCCATTGTATTTCTTCACCCTTTCTGTTTACCCGAATGTTTACACTGAAGAGGCTTTACGGCCAGTTCCGCTGACATTGCAGGGGATCCGAAGGAATGCCCCAGGACGGGCTCGGATTTGAAGATGCACGATGAGGGAGTCGATTGGGAGGCGTGTTGGAGGTAATTCCGATGCTCTTGGGGCCATTTGGAAGTATCTTGGGGGCCTCAGAGGGGATTCTTGGTGGTCTTCGGGGGCCTGATGGCGGTCTCGGAGGCTTTCTTTAGAGACATGGCTCGACATTGCTAGTCGGGTCCCTCTGGAGCCTCTATTCGGGGCCTCTTGGGAGCCTTTTGAGTCCTCTTGGGGGGCTTCTTGGACCGTCCTGAGATCTTCTCGCAATGTTTCCAGGGCCTCGTGGGTTGTGTTGAGGCCTCAGACGAAACGACTATTTGAGCAACTGTAACGCAATTGTTTAGCGACCGGATGCGAAAATGTGAGAAGGCCAAACGCATGGAACATCGTTGACGCTATGAGTTTGGTGTTTCGGGGTTCTCATTGGGCAGCTCCGTGGCCACTCCGTCGTTGAGCCTCTTGGAGCCATGCCGGAGGCCCCCGTGGGGCATAGGGTGCCATCGTGGAGGCCATCCGCGGGGATCTTGGAGCCAGAATGGGTCGTCTTGAATGCTCTGACGCCTCGCGGGGCGCCCAATCCAGACCCACGAGAGAGTCCAGGGGAGAGGGCAGACCCCTCCCGGAAGGGGAGGAAGATATCGGAATAGGCATCCCCCTACAACTTGTTGCGCCCAGAAAGTTGGTGGTATGTTCGAATGCAGGCTGTCTGGGGTTGGACACCCTGGGGGATTTGAAGTAGGGTTTTCGTGTGAGCAAGGGGGATGCCAGGAGCGCCATCGTCCGAGACCTTTCTTCATATTATTCGCAACGGTAAGTAGCAATGACAAGCACCATCATGCAAGGTCGTCGTCGCCATCGTCGTGTTTCGCCTCCTCTTTGTTGTTGCCGTCTCGTCTTCTCGTCGCAGTCGTCCGTTGTCGCCGCCCGTCTTCGTCGTCGTTGTCGTCTGCGTCGTTGCCGCCGTGGTCGTCCGCAGCCGTTCCGAGCGTCGTGGCAGCGGGCGGTGCCTGCTTGGGGGTGCGGGGGGGCGCCGCGTCCTCTGCCGCCTCACGGCAGGCTTCTCCTCCTCCTCTCCTTTCGTCTCTTCCCTGCTTATCCTCGGCACCGCTCGGACGTGGGCGAGGACCATCGAGGGAGGTCATGGCTCTTCTTGGGAGCCATACGCTCACGACATCGAAGCCCGCGCGGGGAGTGGACGGCCGAGCGGTGGCGAGTACGTAGCACCCGCAGATGCGGATCTGAGTGAGGGGGCGGTGGGGACGTTGGCAGTCTGCGAGGCTCTGGAGAAGCCCGCCGTAGGCGCCCAAGTTGCACAGATGATACAACGAGCCCGCCGCAGGCGCCGATTTTTTCGTTAGGCCAATGTGGGTGGGTCGCAAGTGGGCCGCGGTTCGGTCGCGGGTTGGTCGCGGGTGGGTCGCGGGTGGGTCGTTGTTGTGTCGCGGGTGGGTTGAGGGGTGGGTCGCGGATGGGTCGCGGGTGGGTCGCGGGTGGGTCGCGGCTTGGGTCGCGGGGTGGGTCGCCGGTGGGTCGCGGGGTGGGTCGCGGGTGGGTCGCGGGTGGGTCGTGGTTTGGGTCGCGGGTGGGTCGCGGGTTGGGTCTCGGGGTGGGTCGTGGTTGGGTCGCGGGTGGGGCAACAAGCAGAATCCTCAACACGGATCCCCGCTTCAGCCACGTTCCCAGGGACAAGGAATGACCGTTCGGCCCCCTCACTCTGATAGTTGCTCAGGAAGCGTCAGGCAGTCCGCCGTCCCCATGAAGACGGAGCTCACGGCGATATCTGTTGCATGAGCCTGCCATTCGGGGGCTTCTTGGGGGAGCTGTCATGCCATTGCACCTGATGGCCTGGCAGCCCATCCCGACGGCGTGCCTGGGTTGTGGGTCAGGGTCCTGAGGGATGCTGCTTGGGGTCTTTTCGGAGCGCTCTCGGGGGCCTCTTGGGAGGGGGCCTCGTGGGACTTCCTGGGGGCCTCTTGGGGGCCTCTTTTGGTCCTCTTGAAGCCTTCTTGGGGGCCTCTCGGGGCCGAGGGCTCGAAATGTTCGTTCAGGCCCCCCGTCTGGGACCCCTCTTGAAGCCGTCTTGGTGGTCTTGGAGGCCTGTTACTGCCCTCTTGGGCCATTTGGAAACCCTCTTGGAGGCCTCTTGGGCCGTCTTGGGACGATCTTGGAGCTTCGAAGCCGAAAAGGCGAAAACTTCCAAAACATTCAGAAATCTGAGAATCATCAATTCTGTTTGCCTCTTGGGATGCCTCTTGGAGGCCTCTTGGAGCGTCTCGGGAACACCTCGGGCCGCCCTGAGGCCACCTTGGGAGTCTGGGAGCGAGCTGTCGGCGACTTGGGGCCCTCTTGGACCACCCTGGAGGCCTCTTGGGACCCTCTTGGCCCGCTTTGGGGCCCTCTCGAGCCCGAGAGAGCCACGCGGGAAGACGCCCCGGGGCCCCGGGGGCCACGCGGCGCGCCCCCGGGGGCCACGCGGCAGACTCCGGACGATTTGTAAATGGTGGGTCCGGGCATTTGGATGGAATTCCCCGAGGGGCATTCGAAATACACATTGTATAACTACGCGCATATACGTGTGTGTATATATATATATATATATATATGTAGGTGCAAGCACCTTATACAAAGAACGATCTGTAGTTATATATATATATATATGTATATATATATGTATATATATAGAGCGTTATACATACATATATATATATACCTATCGCATGTACGTTCTATGGATACACCTATATATATATAGAAAGAGAGGAGAGAGAGAGAGAGAGAGAGAAAGAGAGAGAGAGAGGGAGTGAGATCAACGTACTGATATATGGAGCACCCAGTTTCAAAGAAAGCCGACCCTGCATAACTCAGGGCCCGTCCAGGGAGCGGGATCCCGGAGCGCCCCAGGAGGGCCCAAGACGGCCCCAGATGGCCCCAAGATGGCCCCAGAGGGCCCCAGGAGGCCTCAGGAGGGCCCGACGAGCGCCCCCAGACGGCCACGATGGACCCAAGATGACCCAAGATGGGCCCAAGACTGGCTTGGTTTAGGGCGGATTTAGGTTGAGTCGGTTGAGTGTTTTTACGTTTTTGATGCCGACGACGATTGTAATGATGGTGGTTATCAAATCGTAGTGCTGATGGTGGTGGCGATGGTGATGGTGATGATGGTGGTGCTCATCACATCCAGAATCACCATCATCACCATCACCATCATCACCATCACAACCGCCCTCACCATACCATCATCACCATTCCCATCATCATCATCATCATCATCATCATCACCATCCATACCATCAGCATCGCCATCACCATCACCATCGTCACCATTGTGGTCCGTAGGACTTGGCTCAAAATAATAATGTCGTCGTCCGCTGGGGCGGTTTCCCCGAGCCCTCCAGCCTCGTCGTCCCCTCCTTTTTCGAGGGCAGCTTCTCCGAGCCATGCTTCTTCTTCGAGGGCAGCTTCGCCGAGCCCTGCTTCTTCTTCAAGGGCAGCTTCGCCGAGCCCTGCTTCTTCTTCGAGGGCAGCAGCTTCGCCGAGCCCGAGCCCTGCGGCCGCGTCGAGGGCAGCTTCGCCAAGCCGTGGCAGCTGCAACAGCTCGGACGCCGATGCTGACGTAGGGTCCGACGCCGACGGCGCCGACGGAGTTGCCGACGCAGCGGGTTCCGAAGAGGACAGCGGCTCCAACAGCGGCTCCGACAGCGGCTCCGAAGAGGACAGCGGCTCCAGCAGCGAGGCAGCCGCGGCTGCAAGAGCGAAGGCGAAGGCCGCCCCGAGCAAAGTAGTCGAGAAGTTCCCGCCTTCGTTGTCCATGACCCTGGAGGAGCACGTCGCCAGCCACGACTACCCAAAGCACGTCTCCACCTGCGGCGCTTGCAAATTTTGGAAGAACAAGGAGAACTGGAGCGCCTCGATGTCTGCGACGAATCCAGTAACACTGAAGAGTGAAACTTGGATAGGCTGCGTTGGTGGTAGATTTGCCGTCTGCTTGTTCGGCTCGGCGTTCAAGGGCGCCCGCTGCATTTCCACCATAGGCCAGGGATCCGCGAGTTTCCAACGCAAGGAAAACCTCGCGCGCCACGCACAGTGCGAGCAGCACCAGGCAGCAGAAGCGGCGTGGCAAGAGCGGATTCGAGCGGAAGGTGCGCACCAGGGTCTCCCCGTGTCTGTGTTCTCCACAACGGCTGCATCAGCTGCAGCAGCTGCAACGGCCGTGGCGCCTGCGCCCGCCGTCGTCCGCAACGCCGACCAGCGCCCTGGTTGCCGCGCAGCGGTCGCCACCCGTGCAATGCTGGAGACAACCAGTTCCTTCAGTAGTTTCGACGTGTGGCGGGGTGCGTTCGTTGGGGGCGACCGCCAAGTTTTGGAGTCTAGTCGGCAGCGCCGAAGGCTGGTGACCACCATGGCTCAGCACGAGAAGGTCATCACGCAGAGGATCCTCAGACATGGTGCTGTTTTTCGTTTGGCTGCGGACGGCCTCGACCGCACGTACCAGGTCGAAATTGGCACCGTGCCGTGGTCGATCCCGAAGGCTTTGGACTTCCCCCCGAGCTACGGTCTCAAGGCAGGCTGGCTGGAACAGCTGGGCCCCAGAGGGCCCTGGATCGTGGATCGGGCGATCGGGATG